TTATCTTGGCCAGCATGGATGCTTTTCATAAGGACACAACTGCTTAGATCCTTGCCAAGTGTCCTTCGGCTTCCGCCTCCCTTCGCCACGCCAAAAGCAGACTTCCGGTGTGCTGTTGGCGCGCTTGCTGCTGTAGGCTGCACTTCGCGCCGAGTCAGGGCAGCAGCGACGCGTCTTGCCCTCTAAAGGCTTCCGGTCGCTCTGTCGAGACTTGGCAAGCGCGTTCAGCGCAGCAACAAACTTCTTCGCACCAGGCAACGGACAAGTCTGCACATCGTGACCATTCTCGCCACACAGCGCGCATCGGTGCCTTAAAGGCATGGCTGAAGCCGCCAAGTTCGTGCTACACTGCGAGCAAAACGATCACAAGCAACACCGTCACAAGCGAGCCCAGTATGAGTCACAGAACAGGAGTGTAGCCACCTGAACCGATAAAAGCAATTTTCCTGTTCTGCCGCGCAACAAAACTGTAAATTGCAGGCTAAACAGCCTTGCCGTAGCATAAATCGGTGTTGAAAGGGCTGAAATGTTGGGGGTTGAACACGAAAAGTGTATGTATTTTTTCATTTTTCTTTTTCCGGCGCTTTTTTTTGCATTTGAGCAGGCTCCGAAGACATATCCAAGATCTGGAATGTGGTTAAAAGCTTTCGCAGCCTGTGTCAAGAATGCGAAGCAGACGGGAAGTAGGAGCCTTCCTTTCCCCACGTGGGGAAGATGGGTCGGATTGATTGACAGGACTTCCGCATGTATTGTGGAACGCATTGCATGGTCTTTGTGTCTTGCCAAGATGGAAAAATGTACCATTTCTTGTAAACATAGACAAGTTCTCTTGTATGTTATTTAGAATGAAGCGCTCTTTCTTCCTGGTTGTTTTAGCCAATGTGGAGACTCCGTAACGCTTGTGACGAGCACGTCAGCTATGGCTTTCTCATTTCAATTTTCGTCCAAAAAAAATTGTGTGTGAGCAAGAGGTGCTTTCGAGTGCAGTCTGGCATTGTGCATGGCTGTTTTAGCATTGAGCATTACAAGACGGCTGCTACCAGTAGCAGGCACTCTCCCGTTTGTTTTGAAGACTACTTGGAGCTTTGTTCTTGTTTTGAAGATGACAAAGGGACTGGAGGCTCACGTTTGTAGCAATTGCATCCTTATAGGAAAGATCATTGTTTCTTTTATTTCAATGCGAGGCACTTGCCTATGTCCTTATCGAAATTGTTCAGTGTTTTGTACCCCATTTCTCATCAGACAACAGACTGATGGAGAACAAATTGAACTCTTTCATTCTTTATCTCAATTCCTACCGAATTGGGGAACAAGAGTTCTGTCCTTCAGACCTGCAGAATAGAGGAATTTTCTTATTGCCGTGAAAGGTGTAAGCCAAAGGATACATGGTGGGCGGCTAGATGTCAGACTTCTGCGGCCTTGATCTCAGGAAAAGCGCTCCCCGCCCTTCTGGACCACCTTCAAGAAAGAGTCCTCGCCACTTGGCAGATCAGAGTCATGTCTCAACATGGATAGTAAATAGTTGCTGCCTGAAAGAGCAAGTGCACCCGGGCTGGCTCATAGTTTCGCCAGCGCATGCTGTCAAACCTTCACAGTTCTGACCGAGGTCTTTGCGCAGGCTGGGATTTGCTGATTGGTAAGCCTGGCTGTGTCAGTGTTTTTGCAAAGTTCCGGCACATGAATAGCACCTTGCCAGAAATGACATGGCCTCATCTCATTCTTTTCACATACATGGTGTCAGATTCGAGGATGCAATTCTGAAGCTCTACTGTTCATGTGTTTGTCGGAACTGATGTTCCTCCCATCAGATCCGCCTGCCGGCAGGGAAGCCCTTCGAGTTGACTGGCTGCGGTGCCGGCTGGGCCATGTTGTCTCGCGCTCGGCCATGCATTCGTTCAAGAGTTTTCAGAATAACAGCATAGGATTCGGGATATGCCACGCAGGGATTTCAGATCATCGTGCAGTCATTGCATTCTTTGCAGGTTCCAGACTCGGAGGTTGATGCCATCAAGAAGGCAGTCAGCGGTGTGTGGGGAGCCCGCATGCGGGCCAGACACAAATATCCCTGTATAGCAGAAAAAGTTGGCGCCGAAAGCCCAGCAGAAGAGAAGTGCCTGGACAGACACAGGTAAGCTCAAATTGTCCAGCGAGGAGAAGAGAGAGAGCGGAGAAGAACAAGGGAGGAGGAAGCGGACGAGGAGGAGGAGGAGCATGCGGAGGAGCGCGGGAGCAGGAGTAGGAGGAGAGGCAGGCAGGTCAGCGCAAATAAGCCATGACGCCTTCACCCAACGGAACGAATAAGGGCTGCAGGGTTTGAAGGTGCTCGTCGTCGGGTGGGGGGACCCGTCTTGGTGCCGCGTCCCGCCCCAAGAAACAGCAGCCCCGATCCAAGGAACTCCGCAGGCACTGCGGGCCAAGCCACAGTGAAACTGCAGAAGTAGAAGCTGCAGAAAGGTGACCGGGGGAATCCGGGGGAGCAGTGGCTGGAAGGACAAATAACGCAAAAGCTTGCAAAACGTGAGGGTTGGGGGCGGAGATGGCGGAGTGATAGGGTGTAGGACGGGCAGGTGGGAAGGAAGATGGGTACAGCAAGTGCCGCGCGCGGCTTTGCAGAACCAGGAAGGCAGGACTTGTCCGTATCACAGACGCACGAAGGGGCTGGGAGATGGGAGAAGGAAGAATGGAAAAGGAGAGGGTCAAGAGAAAATACACCATAGAAGAAAGTGACACTCTCTCAGTGCTAAATGCAAACGGAAAGGGAGAGGAGAATACACGATTGGCCACACTTCGCTGTAGGACACTCTAAGCCTTTGAGAATTGGGAGAGTTGAGGATATGGGACAGAAAGCAGGTACTGAGACTTGAAAAGGACAATGGTGTTGCAGCCACAAGGACTGTGAAGGAACTCAAGGCAATAGCTGGGAGCGATGAAAACGTGTCACGTCACGGGAGAATGAAGCGAAGAAAGCGTGGAGTGACCCTGACAAGGACATCGCTAAGCTGACAACACGACACAGACCGAAAGAGGTGGATGGATTGCTCGGAGAGATCGGACACGACTGTACAGTCCTGGGCGTTGGTCTTTTAGTTTTCTAAGTGACAGCCCGGTCGCAATAAACATTGCAGGAGGCGTTAGAAAGCATCGAGCTGGCGAATGCCCAAGCTCGATACTACGCTTGTTGGCGCTTGGAGACTGATTCCTCAAGACCGTAGGGTGACCATGCCCTCCAACCACCTCTTGCATTTGCATCAACCGGGCTTCCCGCGATAACATTCCGACAGATTGGCATGTTTAACTTCGGGGCGTTAGCTGCAATCAACCACGGACAGTTCTGCCATACAGTACAATCCAAGATGAATCGACATGACATCACGATACGCTACTGCATTACTTGGACGTCGGATTACTTGGACGTCGGAGGGTGTTCATTTTAGCCGCAGTTTGAACACGTTGCGTTGGTTCGCTGTAGGTCGTGGTCAGAGTTACAAAGTCATACACTGCAACGCTTAAAGGAGCTTGATTGCTTACCACGATGCTGCCTCTTCCACTGGTGATGCGAGGCCGTGGAGCCACACTATGGTTGGCTGTGCTTTTCTCAGCGTGCTTGCAGCTCATGGTGGGCTCCATTGAAGAAGACCTTCTCATTTAAAGCCACTTCAGACACCCCGCAGCTGATCAGATATGTTGCACAGGGGGCATTGAACATGCCAGCAAATGCAAGGATATGCAAAGGCTTTCAATGCTCTTGATTGGATTTCCGGGGCTGCTTAGGCACAGGGATCCACGCTTCATCTACTTGTGATCATCCTCGTTTAGTGCAAAGTGCATCTCGGTCTTGCAGCCTGCACACAACATGGCTGAGCTTCATGTTCTGCACGCTTTTGTCATGCATTCTTGCCTTAAGCTACGAACTCCTTCAACATGGTCAGATGAGGATGTGCCTCTATCGACGAGTCTCTTCGCTGGATGTGTGCCCCTGATGCACATAGCGCATGCTCCTGCTACACGTGTTCCTCCAATTAGTTCCCATGTAGGCCTTGCAGATTAGGCTATGCTCGCTTGGCCCGCGAACATCTAAATCGAACCTTCACAGCAAGCAGGTCTGGCGAGACAGGTTTTGGCATCAGCCAGCTGCAGGCAAGATCAAGATGGGTACAATGCCTGTCCTATCAGAGCATGCAGATTCATGTGCGAATCACGGCTGGTAGCCGCACGTCCAAGACAAGTTCATTACCACTGGACACAGTAGCAGAGCTGACCGATGCTTTCCAATCATTCAGCTTGCCTTGCCGTTTCATTTTGAGTCCCCACCCTCGCTGCTCCAATAAGTGCCGGACGGCTGGAGCTTCCTCGCCAGCCCCAAGCTTTTAACCAAGTCCAGAATTTTTTATGTTCTTCCAGCATCGAGGAAAATGTTTTGCTAGTCCCAGCCCCGGTCAAGGTCCTCCCACTGAGTCTACAGATACGTTCTCCTGGCACGAGATGAGTCAAGTCACAGGGGTGAGAAGGGGGTGAGAACTCATGTCATATAGTGCTGATGTGGGGACGCTTGCGCAACTTGTCAAAACTTCCAGCTCGGGTTGTTGAAGCAGATGTCAATACTGCATTGCCTCTGAAGGCAGGAGAACTTATGTCTGGATGCGGCATTTGCGATGGCGCAACCACAAAGGCAGCTTGTTGACTGCATGCGCGCAATGCCACGGTGGTAGATGTGCAAATTGCTTCTTCAAAACACCTTGTTCTTTTCGCATGTATTGCATACAATGCATGGGATGCAGGTGTGCGCGCAGTGAAAATTTGAACTCCGAGCGCTGACAGTCTTAGGTGAGATAGAAATGGTAGGCCCCGGTGGGCTGGACCAACTCCAACAAAGCCACCGTTCGCAGGTTGCTGACATCGATCGCTTCTTCATTGCGGCAAAGGTAACGCCCGCCGAGATGAAGAAGCACCGCGCCCAGGGGCAAAGCTTCGTATGCACGGGTGTCAAACCAATTCAACCTGAGAGCGTAGATGCCTAGATCCTCCGCATTTTTTCTTGGCAAGCTGATGAGAGTTAGAAGATGGCACTTGCAGACAAGCTCACATGTGCCGTGCATGACGTGCTTGTCGTATAATGATGCTGCTGAAACCCCAGGACGATGGCCATTGTGAACGACAAGACCCTGGTCCGTTACGAGTTTCTGGAGTTTCTCCTGCGCTGGGGCCTTGGTCCAAATGAGACTCGTGCGTGGCACGACGGGTGCTACCTGGACGTGTGTGTGCAAGGCACCTCAAAGCAATGCTAGATTCCGCGCAGTCTCGCTGGATACTGCTTGACCCAATGCGCGAGTCACCTTGCAGCCCCACGGAAGCAAGCACAGGTGTGGCACACCACCACTTTTTCAAGTCTGGCGCCGGAAGCTGAGCTCAGAATGGTCATTCCAACATTTCTAATGTAACAAGTCCATATTGTGGTGCATATATGAGCCGATGCTCTTGATCAAGCAGCGAAGGCATGCCGATTGTAATTGTAGCTGTAGGCTCCAAGCACGGGGGATTTCCCATTGCCGTGCATCAGCGGCTCCATCGGAGTGAGTGCAGCTTTTGTTCTTGCGAGGCTGCTCAATCTATGGCTGAGGCGCTTGATAGTTCTCAAAGCGCACGCGGTTGCCATGAAATTAAACCTGTATTAGCTAGCTCATTAAAGGATCATACTTCAGGCTGACACCTACTTGGATGTTTTAGCGATTCAGTGCTGGGCCTGGACTTGGACTTTATGCATGGGACCTTTTAGTTGCCAGCGTTTGGCTCTCATTTGTTTACAGCATTGAATATTGCACGTTGTGGCTGAAGCGCTAAAGTTTTGACTGTTCTGTTGCCATCTTCCTGCATTCTTAAGTGTATCCAGGGGTGTTGCGCAGGCCATGTCGCTTCTACTTGAAGCACTGGAGGCTGAGGGCAGGCCAGATGAAGCCCCGGATTGGATGCGAGAGCAAGACAGACATAATTTCTTGACACGTCTTTCTGGAGCATTGTTCTTTTGTTTGCTCGGGGCCAGGCAAATGGAGAAGGAGGTGGATGACTACTTTGACGCGCTGTGCGTGGAGGTGGGTTGAAGATGCAGAACTCATTTGGGCATAGCGCGTTGCCTTTCACCCGCAGTGTTCAAGACATGATGGCTTAAAAGCTGCAGATGATAGACGCGACCAATTTCGATCATGCACCCTCCTGGGTTCCGAGAGTCTGCAAAGGAAGTCCAGAGATTCCAATGGAAAACAAGACATACGCGTTTAAAGTCTGACAAGCAGCTCTCGGCACGTACTAATCAGACAGGCATCAGGCGCGAAATGCAGGCTTGCAGCCTCAGCCATTGTTATCCCACGGCTCTTTCTGACGTATCTCTGCTTGCGTTTAATTCTACTGTAGAGGCTGTCGATGACCTGTACAAGAAGCACACGGACATGCTGGCCTTCCAAGCACGTTTGCCTTGCTTCGCGGGGCGAGATCTAGTCATCATCTG